TTACACACAGTAGACGTCAGGATAGAGGGACATTACACACAGTAGACATCAGGATAGAGGACATTACACAGTACACGTGAGGATAGAGGAGCATTACACACAGTAGACGTCGGAATAGAGGACATTACACACAGTAGACGTCGGGATAGAGGAGCATTACACAGTACACGTGAGGATAGAGGAGCATTACACACAGTAGACGTCGGGATAGAGGACATTACACACAGTAGACGTCGGGATAGAGGACATTACACACAGTAGACGTCGGGATAGAGGACATTACACACAGTAGACGTCGGGATAGAGGGACATTACACACAGTAGACGTCAGGATAGAGGGACATTACACACAGTAGACGTCAGGATAGAGGGACATTGCACACAGTAGACGTCAGGATAGAGGAGCATACACACAGTAGACGTCAGGATAGAGGGACATTACGCACAGTAGACGTCAGGATAGAGGGACATTACACACAGTAGACGTCAGGATAGAGGGACATTACACACAGTAGACGTCAGGATAGAGGACATTACACACAATAGACGTCAGGATAGAGGGACATTACACACAGCAGACTTTAGGATAGAGGACATTACACACAGTAGATGTCAGGATAGCGGGGCATTATTCAACATCTACAATCGCCGCTCATCTCCTGGCTCCCCCTCACTTTCATTTGCCCACAGTAATCTTTCGAACTCTTGGATAGCTGTTGGGATGGCCAGAGTCAGAGTGAGTGCCCTCCTGGATGAGGAGAGAAAAGAAATCTAATCAGCTTTTAATTTAGGTTAAAACAATATTGGGCCTTTTTTTCTTGCCTGTAGGTAGATGCTGCCATGAATCAAGGTCTCAAGTATGATATTTTGGCAGCATTTTCTTTCTTTCTTTTAGTTTTCTTTGTTTTTATTTTTTGTTTTGTTTTGTTGAGACAGGGTTTCTCTTTGTAGCTTTGGAACCTAGCCTGGAACTAGCTCTTATATACCAGGCTGGTTTTGAACTCACAGAAATCTGCCTGCTCCTGCCTTCCAAGTGCAATGATTAAAGGTGTGTGCTACCACCACCTGGCTGTGTCTAAACAGCATCACCTCTGGATTTGTGTCTGATGCCTAGGGGGTTTGAATATGGGCCTGGTGAGGAGAGCAGACCGAGCAAGCCATGGGGAGCAAGCCAGTAAGCAGCACCCTTCATGTCAGCTCTTCATGTCATGGCCTCTGTGTCAGCTCCTGCCTCCAGATCCCTGCTTGGGTTCCTGCCCTGACTTCTCTCGGTGATGGAGTGTTGTGACCTGAGAGCTGTAGGCTGGAGTCAGCCCTCTCCTCCCCAAGCTGCTCTTGGTCATGTTGTTTATCACAGCAATTGAAACCCTAAGACAGGTACCAAGTTAGGTCAGCATGGGTAGAAGAGGAGGAGGAGGAGGAGGAAGAGGCAGTACATGGGGCCCAGGGATATAGGCCCTTAAAGCAAACAAACAAACTAAAACTGTTAAAGGAAAACATTCCATGCTTGCACAGCAAGAAATGGCATCCATTTGTCTTAGCACAAACTATAACTGGATGCCAAGCGGTGTCTCTGGGGCTTGCTTTGCTCTCGCATCACCTCCTAGACACATCTGGTGCCAGGAAAGGAGCCCATGCTGAACTGGGGGGAACAGGAAGGGTACCCCAGAGCCTCTATGTGGCCCTATTATTTTGGAAGCACATGAAGAAACTGGGAAAGAACACTGACCTTGGTGTGGGCTGGATCAGGTGGATCGTGGATATTGAACAAGGGAAGATGCCTCTGGGCCTACCGCAGGAACTGGCTACCCACTGTCTGGGGGTCTCTGGGCCTACC